TTTAGTTGGAGAGGTTACAATACTGTGTGGTAGCAAACTTTAGAAGAAACTGGAAACTTAATCCTAAACTGGAAACAAGGAATAAACCTCTACGCTTGTTCAAAAGGGAGGAGTGTGAACCAGATTATAGATGAACCTATCTACTTCTATTGAAAGAAAAAAAATTAGTGAATGAAATATATACATTTTTTATTTTTAAATTTTTCATCCCAAGCAAGGCAATAAAGCCACTTAGATACAAGTGGTTACTGAGCATGAAAAAATATGAAAAAAATAAAAACATTATTAGAGTGAGAACAATTCATATTAAATTCATTTATATAGTTATATGATAATAATATAGTTTTAAGGTATGGTATATTTATGATAAAAGTTTTCAGTATCAGAGATAGAACATATATATATATATATATATATATATATATATATATATATAAAAACAGGGGACACTGAGGTAAACGATGAGTAGAAAGAGTCTGAAGATTGCATTCAATCATCAAAGAGCCAGTCCCCACTCATTATCCACTTATATATTCAGCTATGGGCTAAATAATTGGGTTCTTCAGTCTTGGTGACAACCTATTTGGGTGAAGGACAACTCTTCATTCAAAATGGCTTGGGTGTGGGACTAGCAAATCCATCCCCTGAAAAACATACTTGCCATGGAAATATCTGAATTTGTGAAAGGACTTTGTTCTGAAGTCAATTAGCAATGGATGAGGGTTTTACATAAATATATATCAATCCTGTATACACTAGCTCGTGTATACAGAATTGGTATATATTTATGTAACATTCTCATCCATTGCTAGTTGACTTCAGGACAAAGTCCTTTCACAAATCCTCTCATGTCTTATCAGTAAGTACATCTATCTCATTTCAACATCTAACTGATCTTTTACAATTGCATTTACTATCGATTGAACACTAATCAAGCAACCTTTTACTCCATCTGTTCTCATTTCTTGCTGGGTATTTCCTACCTTACAATTTTGTCATTTAATCACTTCTGTAACATCACTTATCTTGGTTTGTTCTTTAATCCATGTTGACCTCTTTCTATCTCTTAGGATTAGAATAGCATTGAGTCAAGGCTTTGGTATTTGCATATTTTTTAGTTTCTTTTGAAATGATTTTCTTAATTTCTCTCTTTCACATATTAATAAAAATATATATTTGTTATGTATTTAATGCTTACCACCCTATATGCCATTTTATTTCACTTTTGTGGTTTTCTTGAATATTTTTATGTCTTAAATATATATGTATTCTTGGGCTCCTTCCACTTCTTCAGATATTTGCAATTGAAAGTCACTTTTGTTTTATTTCTGTTCAGACTTTCCTGATTTAGGTCAATTTATAATCCATTTTATGATTCAAATATGAGCAAAATGTCATTGGCAAACCATAAACAGATTAAATATTCCTCCATCCCTTCCCAGTTTATTTTCAAGAATATATTTTAAACATTTGCTCTATATAATTTAGGTGAAATCAAATTCAGATATTTCACTTATTTACCAATTTATATTTATATATATATATACACACACACACACACACATATATATATATATATATATATATATATATATATATATACACACACACACACACACATATATATATATATATATATATATATATATATATATATATATATAATAAAAAAAAGAAAGAACACACAAAATATATATATATATATATATATATATATACACACACACACACACAAAAACACAAATATATATAATCAGAATTTTGAGAGGTTTTAAATACACAGCTAAAATCACGTTTCCATGGTTACAGAATATTCTACTCAAATTGAACACAATGTTTTTTCCTTATGACAGTACCTATAAAGCATTTTGGTAAGGGTCTATTTTACACTGAAACCTGACGTCCACTAGCAATTTGAAATATTTTCTCTTCATTCTTTAAATATGGGAAATTTAAAATATGTATCTTTTTTTTATATATAAACCTATTATTATAATATTTCACATGCAGGACATGGGTCATGAATCTTCAAGACATTAGCAATAATGGCTCTCTACAATTTCTTGTCCTTTGTATCTCTAAATAAATTTTGTATTTTTGCTATCTCTCCCAAACACTGCTTCACTCAAATTTGTCAGATATGTTATGCATTGTTTTCTTCTGCCATTCTTGCCTTCAATCTCTCCTGTGGGTATCAAAATTTCCAAGCCCTCTTTCCTTATTATGTCCCTAATGAATTTGTAGGAGGTACAAAAACAATGCAGTCTGTTTGTTTTAAAGTGTTGTTAATTTCTCTTCATGTTTGTTTAAGATTTGTTTTTTGTATTTTGAATACTAGTAGGAGCATTTACTCTGAGCTTCATTTGTTGAGTGCTTGGGACAATGGAAAATATGGACAAATTTTGCATTCCCAAAAAAAAAAAAAAATAAAAAAAAGAGAGAACTCCACCAAAAAAAATTTATAATGTAAGATTGTTAGAAAAACTAAAGAAAATATGAATTAAATTTTTTTCTTTTTGCCATTCCTTGACTGTCATATTCAATGCATCTGTTTGTTTTAAAGAAACATTTTAAAAAGAAAGATTGATGCACAAATATATATATATATATATATATATATATATATATATATATATATATATATATATATATATATATATATATAATTAGTGAAAACCTAACAAAGCTCTTTGTTCTAAACATAGAAACATATTTACATTGTTCAGACTGTTGTCCACATATTTATTGTTATATTCATGACACATGGCCCAGTGGATAAAAGCTTTGGTTGAAGTAATCCCAATGGATTACTCTGAACTTGACTGAAAGAGTTGTAAGTTCAATACCTGGCTACAGAAGAGTTGAGTTACTTAAAGGTATTAACTTAAACTGAGATATCCAGAAAAGACATGGCATGTTGGACTAGAACAATCTCACCCCATGACTAAAAGGGCTCAGGTTGAAATTTCAACATATATCACCTAAAGAAGACCGGTGCATACAACGGCTGAGACATCTTGAATATAACAATAAAGATGAGGACAACAGTCTGAATAATTTAAATAGTCTAAATAGAATACATCATCTCAGAAATATGGATGCATCCTGAAGAAGACTGGAGCATATAATGACTGAAACATCTTGAATATGACAATAATGATGAGAACAACAGTCCAAATGATGTAAATAGTTACAGTACCTTATCTTGGAAATACAGAGACAGATAAAGCATATGACTGAAAACCTAGAAAAAACTTTTTCAGAACACTTAATAAAGAACTTTTGGTCTTCAAGCAAACTTTTATAAATGTATAGATATATAGTGAGGGCTCACAATTTTACTGACTTTTTGTTGTTAGTACATTTATCTTGGAGGTAAACACAGAACTAATAATATTCCAATTGTAACTATTTTTTGATTATAATGAATTGATTTCCCTATACAATGATAAAGTTGAAAATTGTTTGGAGATCAAGACAGAAAAGTTTTAGACTTCTTGTATGAATTTAGAATAAAATAAAATATTCAATTGTAAACTCAATATAAAAATGCTTGATAAGTATTGTTTGCACATTTCAAAGGATTTGTAGCTTCAAGTTTGATACATTTGTTATAAAACTATTTCAATATTAAAGATACAGTTTAGTTACTGTAGTTGATAGTCACAATGAGCTCACCTCGACACAGGTCAAGCTCTGTAGATCAACCCCATGCACAGATAACCTTTTATTCAAGTTTTTGACCGCACATGTAAATTAGTGATAGTTTTCAAAGCACTGGAACTGCGCATACACTTTACCTAAATTGTATCATGGTCTCTTAGCCACAGGTAAGTTAGAATTCTTTGGTCCTATTTCACCCCACTCTCCACTGATCTCTATTTCACCACAATTATAAACTATATGATGAGACAAACCCAGCCAGCAAACAGTGAATCAAGTTGTCTCTTCTTTTGTGCTATAAGCACAGAGCTACTAGTAGAGAGATTGTGAAGAATTGAACTCAAGATTAGATGGTTTTAAATCCAGAAGAATCAGAAGTTCAACTAAAAACCTTAGAGCTTCCAATTGAGCTCCCATATAACTAATTTGATACTGCTTTTCAATGGACCTTTTATTTTGATTTCAGATACTTGAATCCTTAAGCTAATTTCAGAAAATGCAGATTTCATTAATGATTATTCTATTAACAGAATTTAGCTTGAACTTAGAACTGGATTTGCTTTTCTTGCTTTTGACAAGGTCATCAAAATGAAATCAAAATTTATTGTCTTTTGCTCTGATTCTTAGATAAGAAATAATTCCACATTTGCATGTTTATGCTGTGAAAACACATGAAGAATGATGAACATCTTTGAGAAATGACTGATAGGGGCAGAGCATCAAAGAGAGCATTTGGGTGTGTCAGAGGCCAAGGATTTAGTAAAATCATTGTTTATAAATTTTAGTTTTCACAGAAAAAAAAAAGCATAGGAGAGAGAGAGAGAGAGAAGACCAAGAGAAAGAAGAGAGAGAGAGAAGACCAAGAAAAGGAGAGAGAGAAGAAAAGGAGAGAGAGAGAAGAAGGAGAGAAGAGAGAGAAGACCAAGAAAAAGAAGAGGAGAGAGAGAGACCAAGAAAAAGGAGAGAGAGAGAGAGAAGACCAAGAAAAAGGAGAGAGAGAGAGAGAAGACCAAGAAAAAGGAGAGAGGAGACCAGGAGAATGACGGAAGTGAGAGAGAGAGAGAGGAGGCCCGAATAATGAAGGAAAAGAGAGAAGCCAGGAGAATGAATGAAGAGAGAGGAGCCAGGAGAATGAATGAAGAGAGAGAGAGAGAGGTCAGATGATGATGGGAAGTGAAATTAATACAGAAGGTTAAGATACAAAGAGAAAAAGTCAAAACAAATCAATAAAAGAAAGAAAAGAGATATCATAAGAAGTAGCAAATGGCAAGGAAAGAAAAGCAAAAGAAGAGAATAAAAGATTAACAGGGAAGAAAGAAGGAAACAGAATTATGAAATTAAAGAAGAAACACCATGAGACAAAGAATGATAAAAAATAAAGAGTATAGAATATGAAAAATATGTAATAATGCATAGTAGGATAGAGAGAAAAATGAAGGAAGATAGAATTGAATGTTGAAAATATGTTGATATAATAAAGACAAAAACATAAAAATACAAAAATGGAAGAAAGGAGGAAATTCTTTTTTAAATGGTAATAAAAAAAAATGTAAAGAAATTAATGGTAAATGAACAAAAGAAAGGAAGAAATAAAAAGGAATAAAGAAAGGATATAAAAGACATGCTGAAATAAAACGGAGATGAAAGGACAAGAGAAGAAAATAAAATAAAGATGAGATTGATAAAGAGTAAATGAAGGTGAAGAAAATGAAGTATGGAAACAATAAAAGGACCACAAAAAAGATATATTGAAAGAATGAATGAAAAAATGAGTTGAAAGAGAAAGGGAATGAACAGAAATGTAGAATCATAACATATTAAGAGGGAAAGAGAACATGAAGAAAAGATGAATCCGAGAGTTAACAAAGATGATGTAAGTTGAGTCAAGCAAAGAAGGAAGATGAAACATTCAAAAAAAGAAAAAAGAAGGCTGTAGAAATCTGAGTAGGAATAAATGAAGGGGAAAAGAAAGAAAAGAATGAAAAATGCCAAGAAGACAGACTGCCATGTTGCCAATTGAAAACTGCACTCTACACTCCATAAATTTTATTGAGTTTATGCCAAATTTCATGGTCCCAGAAGGGAGGGCACAAAAATCTATCACTCTTCGAACATGAATTTCCTTTTAAGTGACAATTCTAAAAAAATAATAATAATAGTCTTCATCTACTTTTATTTGAAAGGGATAAGCTGGGTGGAAGGAGGTTTGGTCAGAAGGAAACTGATAAAGAATTCAGCTTAAACAATTTTCTTTGTCATAATTGCTTTTGATTTTCTTTTTTTTAAATGGAAACGATAAAAAATTGGCCACTTTACCTGAAATCATATTTTTGAAGGGTCTTTTTAAAACATTTGACAGCAATAATGGTTTTCTGAGAAGCCATAAAAACAAATGGGAAACTATATCTACTACAAAAAAAACAGTATGAATATGATTTTAAATGGAGTAAAAAGTTGTGTTTATAATTGCTCAAGACAACAAAGTTAAATAATTTAATTGTTTCACTAAATGTCCAGAAAGAGGCAAAATACTACAATATTAAAGAGACAAGTTGATTTTCATTCTCATTCCATATAATTTTTTTTCATGATGAAAATGTTCATATGTGTAGTTTCCAGTAGTGTTTTAGTTCAAGTGAAATACTATTAATGTTCATGAAAAAAAATACTTATTAAAAGATTTATATCCCAAATAAGAACTTGATTTATGAAATGTAAATGTTAAGTGTTGGTGTATTATAGGTGGGATGCATGTTTGCATGTGACAAATAAGTATACAAAGACTCAGGGTTTCTACTAAGGACAATTTATTCTATTTTTTTCATATACACTGTAGTGAAACAAAATTCTCAATATCTTTTTTTATATATGCCTGTTTTCTTTTTTTGATCCAGGGTAAGTAAGGATAAGCATTGTTATAATGGCCGAGCTCAAGTCAGCCTTGCAGTGAGTTGGAATGACCAAAGAAAAAGTTTGTTGACTTCAAAGGTAGATGCTTTGGAAGACACATGCATTGGAAAGTGGAAAAACAGAGTTCAATCATGAGTGGAAATGAATGTACCTCAGTGTGGACATCCTTTTTTCCAAGTCCTACTGCATCTTGGAAATATTTGTTTAATAGAACTTAAACAGTACCACCTAACAAGTGTTTGACAAAACCAAGTGGAGTCATAAAATTTCTGGTTCCTTTATTACTAACATCATGGGGAAGTGTATTTTTTTTCGTTTTTATTCATTATTATTATTTTATTTAGTGATTTTATTTAATTTTCCTACCGGTTAAACTTTTACCTGAATGAGTCTGTTTTGGAATTACCAATTATTGATGAGATATATTTAGTGAGAGAGTTAACATAGTAATAATGGTTGTAGATGCATTGAAGTTTATTAAAACAAAAAAGTAAGAATATGCAGATTCTATTTCCTAAGCTGACTGTAAGAATTAAGACAAATTGATGAAGACCCGTGTGTGCAGATATGTCCTTTTTCCAATACATGTGCCTAATGTTTATATAAAAGATTATAACTTAGATTTTAAGAAAAAAAAGTTGGTTTGGTAGAAATATTAGATATACCTGTGTAATCAAGTAAGTTTAGACCATAAGTATTACTGTGTTCTATATCACACTAATTCACTGAAGGTAAAGTGTTCTCCCAGATGTCCTATCTACAAGGCATAGGGAGAAAAAAGACGATGAGCCTTTGTGCTCTTATATACTGTATCTGGCAGCACCATCTAGTGGTATTTAGGTGAAATTCTTTGGTAGACAAGTCAGGTAATCCCACCAGTCCTTTTTATATAAATTATTAACATAGATATATAAATATGTATACAGAAGGAAGAATAAATAACAATAGATATTATAAGTTATTCATTTTGTCTTAACATTACCTTTGTTATTTTGTTTTTTGCTCCAAAAGAGAAAAAAATTAAGACTGAATGCTGAAATGAATTTTTTGTACAAGGATATGATGAAAAGTTTTTAAAACCAGGCCAGTTCTTAAAATTTGACTAAATATTTTAGTTTTTAAAATATCTCCTAATATCTATGATGTGGTTTTGCATATTTTACATGGAAATATTTGATGATCATTTTTTTTTTATTATTAAACTGCCAGTATCTACACAGTAGTACCCTATCATGCCTAAGTTAACTTCCAAGGATACTGCAATCATATTTTGACTCTTATATGGTAATAGAGTGAATTGACTGTAAAGTAAATGATTGATTTACAAAGTACGTATAATGTAAAACTAGACTCTTTGTGTCCATCTTCGCAAAACCCAACATTGAAATTACTATATAAATATCAATTCAGCTGGACCCTTACATTGTAAATTTAATACACAACTTAGAGGCAGTTCACTTGCTTCATTCATAAAAGTTATTTTTTTATCTTGAAAATGTAAAATTTCCAGAAGAAAAGATTGTTAAATTCAGTTAAAGTGATTCAAGCTACATGAAGAAAAAAAATTTTCAGTGTTTTTGTCTATGTGTCTAAGCTTTAACAGTTAGTAGAATGGCTAGTGGAGAATATATTATAATTATTCCTATTGAAGCATTACTGTATGAGCTGCTCTCGCAATATTCTCACTCAACACCGCAAATTGCTACAAAACCAAAACATTAATCTGAAAACTTGAGTCATATTCTAAAATAGCATTGTCAGATCATCTTTCATATGGATGTCATGTATGGTGTCAAACCCATTCAGAAATATCTAAACTGTCAATTGTGTACAACCACTTTCTAAGATCAATGATTAAGAATTATTTTTAGTGGAGAGTCGTTTGAAATAGACAATCGGTCCTTTGATTTTAAACAATGTGTATTATATCTGAAGCACTTACTAAAGAAAATGTGCTCTTTGGCAGGGTTTGTTAGTAATTGCTTTGTTTGTTTCAAATCCAAAACTGAACAGATATGAGCTTTACAAGAAAATCTGAACAAGGGAATGTGCTTTCCTTAAAAGGAAAAAAAAAAAAATTTCTGGGTTCTGGTACTCTCTATGCTGTGTCATCTAAAGCACAGCAGATCAAATGGTTGTTTTTCCGACAAAGAAAGATGCAGGTGCAAACCCTGATGGAGAGCACATTTTCTTTATCAAGTCTCCTTGAATGCACAATATGAGACATAATACACACTGTTTAAAATTTAAAAAAAAAAAACTGGGAGTCTATTTCAAAGATGTGTATTCACTTAAAAATAGCATCCGAAATAATAAAGAATATTTAATGAGATCCAAATGTACATGACATTGATGAATTTTATACAAGGTATAATTCATTAATGCATATTTCAACTCCACAATCTCATAGTTAGGTTTTCTACTGGAACTAACTTAAAATCATTAAGCAGATTTTCAACTCGTTTTATATGAAATAAACCCTATTTCCAACACCATTACATACTCACATACATACTCTATTAAAATGCCCAAACTTTTTCTACTCAATAATAGATTATTATAAATATGTTAAATAGATTTCACAATACAACAAACACTATTTAAATCAAAGTGTCTGTTGATTAGAAATTAACATCATGCAAAATATTTGACCAATCAGAAAACTAAAGCCCTATTTTTCTGATAACCATAGAGAAGAGAAACAAAAATTTAAAAAAATGTAAATAATAACGTGTAATAACAATGCTTATGAGTATTTCTTCTATTTGACTTTTACATTTCTTTGTACCATGTCCCTTCAGTATGTAGGTGATCATGACTCACCACAACTTCTTATCTTTTTTAACTATTAGCATTATCTCTTTTTACTATCATTCCCCATTAAGACTAGTTCCTGAAAACTACCAAATCCTATATACTGATCTAAAACAATTAATTAAGAAACAGATGCAAAATCAATGGCAAGAACAATGGAGCAGATAAATGCCGAATAAGCTAAATACAATCTCATTAACCCTCGAGAAAAATCTCAGCCATTATGGAAAATCCCAAAGGGAAAAGGTTACTATAACATGACTATGAATAATAGGCCACATTAAGATTACTCATTCATTCTTACTGAAACAAGAACCACCACCATGGTGTCCCACATGCCAAACCCAATATGTGGTAAAACATTATCTAATTGAATGCATTGATCGTGATTCTAAAAAGACACAATTTCTTCAAGGCAAATAGTCTAAAAGATTTATTTGTTTAACGGCATATCAACTCTTTATGGGTCATTTAATGCCAAAATTTTATTTTCTTGCGAGCTTTTTTTTTTTTTTCCAAAAAAATGTATTGTTGGTAATTTTTTTACAATGAAAATGTATTGCTGGTAAATTTTAAAAATTTATGTTAATATTTTTCATGGGTCTCATTATTTGGTCGTAACTGCTACCAGTGTGGGTCAGGGTGAACCTGGGAACAACAGCAATAAGAGGTGGTTCCACACTTCTCAAAACATTCTGACCAGAGGCCTTGCTGCCGGATGTAGTTTATCATCATACCCAGGATAAGCCTAAAAGAACTATTTAAAAATATTGAAATAAATAGAATTATAACATTCCTGAAATCAGTTGAATTTTATCTGAAAATATTTTTAAAAAAATGAAGATTGTTCATTTTCCTTAAATATAAACCAAAATAAATCAGTTTGGGCATAAAGGGTCGATATGTTGTTAAAAGTTCACTTAAACATTTACTATCTCTCCCAATCTCTACCATTCAAATATACAAACTTGTTAAATAGGTTGCTCAGTGTTTGCCTCTTCATCTTTTGCCTTCATTATGTTCTGAGTTTCAAATTTTTCAAGCCTGCTTTCCTCATCATATATCCCATGAATTTCATATATCTCTT